GTTTGAAATGAAAGACAGAATTCAGTTAAATTTTGGGGTCTTTATTTTTATCCTTGTGGTATCGAAAATGGTATCGAGTATTTTCTTGAGTATCGAGTATCGAGCTGAAAATTTTAGTATCGTGACAACCCTAATCAGGACGAGTGGATTCTGTGAATATTTCAGAGTGCTGACGGAGAGGATGCAGGGCGAGGCGTTCCTATTGGTCTCCGTCCCAGATAGTGAGCTCATTATTAGCCCCCGGCCGGTTCAGAACGCCCGGGGCAAACAGGCATGACTCCCATTACTGCCGGGGAGTGGCGTCTCGCAGAGGAAGACACACACTGTCACACCACTCTAACTTACAGCAGAGTGACTCTTGTCGTGGAGAATTTTCTTTTGGTTCTTTGTTAAAGCCACTGGTTGTTGATTCCTTTAGGGAGAGTCGTCTCACATGTCTGGAGACTGTGGTTTTAGCACCAGTAGGAAATGCAACAATTTCCTTAATCCCATCAATGATCAATCTCCCATTCCTGTGTCTGTGTTTATCATTGAAATTGTACGACTCGCCTTTTGTGCCATCCTCACACCTGAGAAGATTCTCCTTTTGAGACATCCACATGGGGTCCTTTCCTGTCTCCTTAGAATAAGCATAGCTTTTTTCCTTTTGGAGATTCTCGATGGGACTTAGGAGTAAATCAGAATCTCTTTGTTTGTTGCTGATTAGAAACACAGTGGCCTTTTTCCATTCTTTTATCTAATACTATGTTATAAAAGGGGACGTGCCTTTCCATCGGGGCGCACTCACTTGAGTTTACTCTGTGACCTGCGTCTTCGAACGCTGTTTGCCTTCGAATAAATCTCTATTGGACAAGATCGATCTTCTCTGTCTTATATTTTTATTTCTACATTTTATTTCTTGCTTCTCATAGAAGTTGTCACGCCTGGGGGAATGTCTCGTCTTGATTACCTATTGTGTACACCTGGGGTTTCCCTCCCTCATGTGTTTAAATAGTCCTCGTTTCCCCTTGTCTGGTGCGGGGTCGTTCTTGTCTGCTTGCCTTGTCTCTTGTCCTTTCGTCCGTCATCACCCCCACGCCAGGTTTGTTTTCGTCGTAGTTTTGCCACAGTCTTAGTCACGTTTTGTCATAGTCTTGTTTATCTTTATTTTGTTACTTTGTCAAGTCATAGTTTTTGCCACAGTATTGTTTGCTCATTGCTTTGTTACTTTGCCCACAGTTTGCCACAGCTTTGTTTTGTACTTTGTCTGGACATTCACCCTGTTCTTTGTCAATAAACCTTGTTCCCCTCATTCCGCACCTGAGTCCTCCCGTCAACACCCACCTCCCTGACAGAACGACCCCGCACCAGACAAGGGGAAACGAGGACTATTTAAACACATGAGGGAGGGAAACCCCAGGTGTACACAATAGGTAATCAAGACGAGACATTCCCCCAGGCGTGACAGAAGTGTTGTGTTGTGCACCAAACACCAAGGCAAATTCCTTGTAAGTCTAAAAACCTACTTGGCAATAAACCTTATTCTGATTCTGATTCTGATTCTCTAATTATTAAGAAACTTTGCCTCACTCATTTAAAGAACTTTTAAAGAACACTCTTCTGACAAATTCCCACTTGCACAACAACAAAGACAGGAATCTGCTCGCATATTTCTGCCGGTTAGCATGCGGCGGGCTCAGCTTTCGGCCCTCTTTAGCCCTGCCGTCTATGGCGCTCTTTGTTTTTTCGCTCTCGGGACTTTTCCCTCCTCCAACCTTTCCCTTCAGCCTGTGCAGTTTCCTGCAGACCTTCTCTCCTTCTCCCTCCTCCACCTCGCGTTCCAGTCCCTCTCCTGAGGTGTCAGGTTTCCACAGCTGGTTCACATTAGCGCCCCCATCCTGTGCACCCCCCCCCTTCCTCTCTCTCTCTCTCTCCCTCTCTCTCTCTCTCTCTCTGTACTCCCTCTCTTTCTTCCTCCACCTCCTCTACCTCATGCTGACCTCTGCCGATCCCGCTCGGCTGTGGGGGTTTTGGTGAGGAATGAGGGGTGGATCCACTCTCACTGGCTCTCACTGAGCGTTTACAACCTTTTCCATCCTGTCCTAGATGTTCTCCCTCCCTTCCCTCTCTCCCTCTCTCCCTCCCTCCCTCCCTCCCTGGTGCCTGTTACCTCCATCACGCTTTCCCCCTGCAGCCACTGTGAAGACGCGGTGGGAAATAAATGGAGGCACGGCATTAAAACCGGCTTCCATTTCAATCCCCGGGTGCTTCCCGGGACTTGGCCGCTGCCTCGGTGGTCCGTTCACTTTACAGAAAGACGCCTCGAAAAACAACACAAATCCTGTTCTGCGCTGGAAGAACACAAATTGCCTTCACTGACAAGCTACAGTGGGGGAAATAAGTATTTGACCCCTTGCTGATTTTGCAGGTTTGCCCACTTACAAAGAATGCTTATTTTTCCTCATCAGATGGTTATCAATTTTCATAAATTCATATGATGTGATTTTCTGGAATTTTCTTTGGGATTCTGTCTTTCACTGTTAGAATGTACATATGATTAAAGTTATAGATCGTTGCATTCTTTGTAAGTGGGCAAACCTGCAAAATCAGCAAGGGTCAAATACTCATTTCCCCCACTGTATGCATAGATTCTGGCTCCTTTTGGGGATGGAAACTATGACCAGTTTCAACATTTGGAGGGGTATTTTTGCCAGTATCATTTCTGGGTTGCACCCCTTCCCCTCTCTCTCTCTCTCTCTCTCTCTCTCTCTCTCTCTCTCTCTCTCTC